ACAAGAGATAAGATCATTGAAGGACACAGTCTAATTCCAAACATTCTTACAGTAGCAGCACACAGTAAGCATCCCCTCTAACGAGAATGGACACATTTCCTAAACAGAACCAAGTTGACATTGACAACAGAATCAAGCACTTGAGGAACATACCTCGCCTGCTTGCACCAAGATTACATGAGGCGTAAACCCTATCCCTCCAACTCCTCCTGACAAAAAAACAACAAGAAATGAAAAACAATGGACAGCAATATTGTCAAAAGAACGCCCAGATTATAATTTGCAATTCCATTACCTAGCGCATCAAGCTGCCTCTTCACAGTACCCGGCGGCCTCCCACGATGCCGTTTAGCGGGACCGTCGGAGGAGGACAAGCCGGTGGGAGTACCCGCGCCCCCACCGGACTCCACATGACCTACTGAAGCCGCCGATGAAGAAATAGGGGTTGGCGCCAAAGCGAGAGCAATGTTGCCGTCGGGAGTGTACTTCCTCGGCCTCCCGCGCTTCTTCTTAGCAGGCTCGATGCTGAACCTCATCCCAGACGAGGTCGGGGACGATCCGTCGAAGGAGCCGGCGTTCAGCCCCCCGTCGGAGGAAGTAGGGGGCTTCGATTGAGGAGGAGGAGGAGGCCGCACTGGCATGGAATTGAAAGGGAATCCAGCCGCCGCCGCGTTGGGGTTGATCATAGTTTGATAGGAGGCAGGGCTGGGGCCCAACATCATGTTCGCCGCCGCCTGCTGCTGCTGGTGGAAGTGGTGGTGCTGCTGGTGCTGGTGTTGGTGTTGATGGTGCGGCGGTGGAACCTGCTGCTGCTGCGACGGTGGCTCTCTGGAGTCCATTGCCTAACTTGCTTCCTTCTTTCCGTCCTTTTGCTTCGGTTCGCTTCTGATTCTTCTGAGATTTTCAGTTTGGATGGTGGGAAAATTTGAGGGAAAATCGGGGCAGCAAGTGGGGAAAAGTGCAGAGAAAATTTTTAGAGAGAGGGAAACGAAAGCGAAAATTAAGAGATGTCACTGAGCGCGTAGAACCTCGGCGCGTGGGGGTTTAATGTCGAGTATGGACTCAAAAAAGCTAAAACAGTCACTTAATTAGGAGAGTCGTAACAAACCAATCACCCAACTTAATATTTTTCTATACAAAGATTACCATTCGATAATGTAGTTGTAACAAAATGGTAATGTCCTCCGGTTCAGTTGATTTTTATGTTTTTTTGTTGTTGTTGTTACCCACTATGAGTGTCAAGCAAAAATATTGTAGTATGCATAAGCAAATGCTTATCAATAATGATGTCGTCCCTTGAACGCTTTGTATGTATGCTTTTGGCGTGTTTTCGTTTCAATATAAGGTTTATAGAAGAAATTGATTATGCAAGAATTCGAGAGAATAATATGTAGCTCAACATTGATATGATTTAGTAATATATTTTGGGCACCAAATTCACCATGGTGGGCTTATAGGTTGTCATCGAATAAAAAGTCGACCTAAGAGACTCATAGGAAGAAGCAATTGAGAGATGGAGGAAGAAGAAAAGGTAGGGGTGGGAAAACGGTTGCGGTTTTGCGGTTAAACCGCAACCGCACCGAATAAGTGCGGTTTATGATTAACCGCAAACCTTTTAAAAGGGCCTTTATTCCGTAACAGTTAGTGGAATTGGCTCTTTTGCGGTTTGCGGACTAACCGCACTCCGCACCGAACAAATAACCCCACCGAATAACTAACGCATAAAAGGAATACCCAGTCTAAGCTCAACCCATCCAACAGCCCAAAATGCAAACTCTCTCCACTCTACATCCAAAAGCTCCAGGCCCAAACGGCCAAACCCAAACAGGATGAGCAAAATCGGTCACCTAGCTAGGGTTCCATTCCTTCCTTCCTTTCAACAGTTCCAATATCGGCCGCCTATAATTCCATTCCCTCCTTCGTTGGCGAAGAGGAAGAGCAGTCGCTAGCAGGGCACCGAGCAGTGGCCAGCGAGCACCCGCGCTGCGAGCACCGAGCAGCCAGTCAAGCACTGCCGACAGGTTTCACGAGCATGCGTCCCATTCCGTTGACCGTCGATAAGCAAAGCAAAGCACGACCGACATAGGAGATCAGGAGAAGGTCGCGATGTGCGATTTAAAGCGCAGTTAACCGCAACTAACCGCAATTTGCGATTAGTTAATAACCGCAAACCGTTTACAATGCGATAACGATTAGTGGTTTTCCCCTTGTGCGATGGCGGTTAATCGCGCTTATTCGGTGCAGTTAACCGCAACCGCACCTTTTTCCCACCCCTAAGAAAAAGGAGATGGAGGAAGCGATTGTTGTATTATGGTGACATACCCAAAGAAGAAAAGAAGAAATTCCATGGTGGTGGTGGCCGATTTATCACAACCTCATTAGTTAGGTGACCATTTTGGCAATTTTTAAACCCCATGAGTTGAGTCTCTCTTTTCTGGAGTCGGTACGTGAATGAAACCTAACACTTTTTTGAAAACTTAACAAAAAGCGAAAGTGTGGGTGCGACTGCGAGCAAGCGAGTGTGGTCCCACGCACCCACAGATCCAAACTCCAAACTCGGGAAAAGTGGCAACTCCTGTCAAAGCAAGCAGGCGAGGCGAGGCAGAGGCATCAATTTCTTTTTTGTATTTATCTTTTTGTCACTTTTTATGACGAATGTTTATACTCCCGTCCCACATGATTTTATTGTTGAGATACTCTATAGATTCAACCTCGTCAACCAAGTAAACTATCGGGTCGTTTTAAAAATGGGAGTTCAGATAAAATTTGGATTTTATAAAATTATGTATGCATGAGGGTATTTTTCTTCTCATTGTTTGTTTCATAAATTTTATGATGGATTTAATAGTTGGATTTGTAATTACGAAATGACATTGACTTATTGTCTCATTTGCATGAGAAAAGAAAGGTATTATAAAGTTTAGGTTGGTCATAAATGATGAACTTCAAAGTCCATGATTAGTTCCCACCTAAAGATATGAAACTTTCAAGTTCATGGGATCCACGGATTTGAACTCTTAAAGTTCACGGGGCCAACAGATTTGTTGCTCCTAAATACATGAAACAAACGATGAAATTTGGACAAAGTCTATAATAAATCCAAGTCCATCGAGCAAACAAACCCTATACTATTATATATGAAATTAGAGATCAAATTAGTACGGAGGCCAAGAATTCCGATGATCATTTTGATGGCATGCACGTTCAACTTATTAGCATGACTTGATCAGTGTGCATAGAGTAAGTAGGAATGGAGGAGGATACAGATCGAACCACCGTGAGTATCGCTGCCAAGGACAAGCGGCGAGCCTTCCAAGGCGCCAGCTTTTTCTTGATCCTCAAAATTAGACTCTGGTAGCGACTCTTGGTGACCCTATCATGAATGGTATGGATCCCTAGATATCGCCCCAGATCCTTGGTAAGAGGAATCGAAGCTACAAGAACGTTGATATGCTACAAGAACGTTGGAGCATTCAGGATCAATAAGCTACATCAAAGGCAATTACAGAGAAATGGGAGATATGCGAGACAGATGTGACGCCATGGAGATTCGTCATAGGCCATGATGTTTCCAAATTTATTAATCAATAATCGGCAAGAGGTGGATGTAAGTATGAGCTCGCTCGCTAGAGAAATCTAGAAAATAAGCATTAGCATAGCTCCTTAATGTATTATTAATACACGAATGAACCTGGAAAAAAAACACGTAAAGAGAATGAAATTTAAAGACATTTAGACAACATTCAAGACTTTAAATTGCCTTTCACTCTATCTCCGATACGAATAGTGTCATTCTACGTGATAACCGATACCTTTAACCAGTCACTCCACCCCCTCCACATTTGACACCTATTGTCCTCTCCGTTGACAATCACCAGACCTCCTCACCACCAAATATTGTGGTTAATTAGCTTCTGGTTCTCTTTCAACACTCATCTGACGAGTGTATTTGACGACTCAGACAGCACGTACATTCATATTCATACAAGGATTTTCAACATTCGTGCTCTAATTCCAAGAGGAGAGGACTCACCCAACCAAAGGCAAATGCGTACCCTTAGGGCCCTCTTGATGGGGACACAAGCAACGTAAAGACTGATTTTGTTAAAGCTGTTTTGACGTTTGGATGGAGATATTCCATGATAAGTTGTTGACCTATAAAAAGGCACTTACTTGTGGATGAAGACATTACTTACTCCTCAATCAATGCCCTCCAAGTTTTGGACGGACAACGGCCCTAATATATTTATGTATCATCACTCCACTATGATTGATAGGGTTCGTTTTAGTAGGTGACGGGTGGACTTAACACAAGATCCGCCCAAACTTCCAGATCTTCTAACTAACCTCCACATATTCAAAAGCAACAGCGTTTTAAAAGGGTCAACTGCATATATCTTTTTTATTTTAATTGTTAAATAAATAAATTAAGTAATTACCATCTTGTCCTTCACTAAACTAGATAAATCTGAACCATTAGATTTTAATGAACTTCAATGACAGAGATTGACCTAGTCATATGATTAAGGGACCCCTTAGTCACCTGATCTTAGCAACTGAATAAGATATAAGCTCTTCAACTCGTGGGCGACAAAATGGTAAACAGGCAACAAGGAAAAATCCTGAAAACAATAAGGGTCTATCAACAGATCCTGCCTGCTGTTCTCCAAGATTGGCTTGGCTCTACTTTTAATATACAACAAAGCACCAACTAAACGAAAAAGGCAACAAGCAAGCTGTAGTGTGCCAAGAAATATTCCACTGCCAAGTCCTGGACAAGATTTACAACACAAATCCGAATATAGCAACAACAAACGATCACAGCCGAATAGAGGAAACGCCTGAACTCAAATGGAAACAAGGTGAGAGGAACTGCATGTGACCTCTGTTTCAAATGATTCGGCTTCAAGGGCTAGGAGCCAGCATGCAATTGCATCTCGACCACTGTACCGAACATCCTCGAGAGCAGTATATATAGCTTCAATTCAAAATAATAAAGTCTAGCACCTAACTTCGTATGACCCTGCCTTGGTAATGTAACGAACCCACTCAACCGTGTTGTATCCACTCTTCTCCCATACCTGCAGACGATTGCCATAAATTGGAGACATACCTTTGATCATAATGTATGAAGAAGGGGGGAAAACTAACTCTGAAGCATACCTTAAGAAATCGAACACGTAAACCGGATGCCGTGAACATGGGGACCTGGGAAACCAATCATGAAGTTAGTAATCCTCTTTTGAGATTTTATTGCACATTTTACCATCGAACTGGGTTGGCGTGGATGTCATTTGGTTAAAAGTAGTTTAAGTCAAGCTGCTGTGGCACTAAAGGTCATCAAAGTTCAAGAAGAAGTCACAAAAACAGTTATGTTTTCCAGATTAAGCTTTCGTCAGAATCAATCATCAATATTGATTCCGAGGAACACAAGGAAGCCCTTTTAGTGACAATAACAGGAACAGATAATTAGGTAGCCACCTGGAACTCCATTTGGATTGGTGGCCGTGTCCAAGACTTCTTCTCAGCAATTGTAGAAATCAACTCAATTTCTGCACTCAAGGTTGGCTCAGTTTGGCCGGGAAACTTCCTTATCCTGTGCGATTAAGAACATAAACTAAGGTCAAGATATTCAATAGATGAAGACATGGGCACACAAAAACATACTAGGGAAGTGACAGCATTCATTGGAAATTTCAAAAGAAAAAGGAAGTAAATTGCATAAACTTGAATAATAAACACATTATGGTAAACAAACGCGTAAATACCAACCATACTAGCATTAAGGATTTAAGGTGATATACTATTCTAGTGCCAGCCAAGCTTGTACTTCTCAGTAGGCTTCACTGACGTTGATCAGGTTTACTTCATTTTTCCTCGTGGAACTAAAAAAATGAGATCTGTGGTTACAAACTACTGCAAGCATCTCAGTATCTTCTCAAGTACAAAGATTAAGGTCACTACTTCGTACACACGTAACTCTTCAGCTCAAAATATACAACAGAATTAATGAACAACATCACTAAAAGATGCCTACCATCCAACTATCATCAGCCTAAAGCTGCTATAGTTTTGCCAACGATCTATCAACGTCCATAGCTATTTCTTTCCCAGAGGTGCAAATATTTCAACAGCCATCTTAAGTTCCCAATATTGCAAATAGAGCGTTATGATGCAATCAGAGTGCGGAAGTTTTAGCTATCCACAATGTTTCAAAATAGACAAGGTGAAAACATTCCAGAAAGTAAAGAGTAAGCAAAAATATTCTAGATACATTTGAGAACTTACTTCCAAACCAAGCAATCAATCGATGCATTGTACTTTGCCCGTCCAGATGTCACTTGGAAGCTTGTTTTGGCAGTTTGTTTAGGTACAGGGATTTTGATGACCACACCAAGAGCGAACATTTTTGCGCCAAAAACACTCTTAACCTGAACCGGGTTCCATATAAGCAAATGTAGAATTCGGACATTCATGTAAAGGAGGCTTCAACATCTAAAGCTTACAAACCTTAACGTTCACTTCCATACGTGTTCGACCAAGTTCCTTAATTGTAGGTAATACCCTGAATGGTAGATTTACCCCCTCTGTTATACGGTACCTGTAAAGGATAATACCCAGAGGGGTGTCAGAAGGTGAAGATTTATCAAAAGATCTGATAAATAAAAAAATCATTTTCACAACCCTCACAAAATGGCTCTAATGTTGGACAATTATAAAGAACAATGGAAAACAGGAGCATCTAGAATCTATAATGCACGATAAAGAAAAAAACAAAGATGAATTCAAAGAATACAAATAGGGCAGGCCCTGAGTTGAGACAAATGGATAGACGATGCATGTAGTTTCTGAAGCAACTTATGATTCGGTCAAATTTCATCATGGTTCTCCTAGCCTTAGCAATGAAAGACCAATAACTGATTCTACAAAGACCATATCAACAGCACACCATCCAGGTCAGCACATCCGCACTTAAGAAAAGGCATGCATTTGATTTTGTTCTTCGGCAATACTCCTGAAGATAGCAGAATGCAGAACAGCCTCAGATAACTTTGGAAGGAACAACATGAAAGCAAACCCTACTTCTGGTTACGATTCTAAGAAAAGCAAGTTAACCCATAGGCAAGCATCCACCTTCAATGACATAGAAACTCACAAAGTTTAAAACAAAAATATCATAAAGCTGAAATGAGGTCATAAGGTTCTAAGCTGCTTACTTCATCAATTCAAATTCGCCGTCGGGTGGAACAAAACTAACTGTTTTCTCGGAGTTAAACCTTGTCAAGTTCACGCATTGATGAAAAGTAACATCATCAAGCTCAATTGTTTTGCCACTGCACAGAGAGCCAGAAGATTAGAATGATAGAAGAATACAAGTGAAATATCTCAGCTTCTTACTTTCACGTATAACTAATTTAATTTGCAACCATTTTTGCTGCAAAAGAACTACTGAGACTGATATCTACACTTTAAGCAACAAGCACGATAAGCTAAAGAAAGCAACAGTCATAGTAGAAACAGAATCAAAGAACTCTGACAGATGGGTGGGGATCGTACAGAAAGAGAGGAGAATAATTATAATTCTGCTGGATATCAAGAGCTTCTAGATACAACTATATAAGTATCAGGAAAACCTTGAAACGTACAACTAAAAATGGATTTCTCAAACATGTTAATATTATCATAAGGCCGACACCTATTGGTGTCACAGAATTTAGTACCTTTTGGTAGGACGGTTCTTCAGTTGTGACTCTTTCTCCAGACCAATTTTATCATTTAAACCCAACTTCAAATCCGGCATTCCAGAGAGGAAGCACTTCATCAGAATTTTCCCCGTCACATCACAGCGTAGTACACTACCTGTAACAACAGCATTACTTGATTGCAATCGAAGCAGCTTCCTCCAAAATTAAAACTCACAGAATAACATCACCAACCTTTTGAGGACATAAGAAGATTAACACTTTCGACAATATCCAAGAAAACCTGCAGTTAAATGAATGTAAATCTCCAGCTACCTGACTTGTAGAGGTCAAAGTGAAAAGAAGAGAAAAGGCAGGGCTATCTGACCTCGTTCTTCTTATAAGCGAGGCCCTCCCTTCGCCAACCAACAGCCCCTGTAACTTGCAATGTTGCATTTGGTACAGGCTTATCCAAAGCTTGCTGAAGATTTTGCAATAGAAAACAGATTATTAAAGCTACTCCATAATGATCAACATGAAAGGGTGGAAAGGAGCTCTGTATAAAAGTTAAATAGTAACTGTTTGGTCGAGAATATTGATTTTCGGGAGAAAGATGCTACCTTCGATGAAAATGGTGAGCGCACTCCTTCCTGTGTAATGTACAGCTTCAATATCTCAGGAGACAAATTCTGTGGATAGCCAAAGTCCATGATCTCTGCAAGTTGTCAGACGCTAGTAAGACGTAGAACATTTAAAGCAAGCAGTACCTAACTAGATCATGAATACAAATAAAGGAATAACAACAAGAATTCATTACCATCAAGCAACTCATATATCAAAACAAAATTATTTCTAATAGCATCTTCATCAAAAGCACCACCAAAATATGACTTGAATAGTGCAACAGCCTGCATAGATTAAAACAAACCACAAGAGTATTAGTGACTGCACAAAAAGGGTTACCCCCAGAAAAATATGGCCTTGTACTCAATAGAGATGCAACTTCGTTCATGTCTTTTCTCGTGTAGAACGCTCTTACCATAGGTGTACAATGAATAGCACTCTTTCTCATCACCTCAATTGAAAGACTAACGAACAAGTTAAAGATATCTTATCCTTGACTGACACCATACAAGGTCATGAATTTAGAAAGAGAAAGTAGGAGAAATGAACATCTCAATATATGCCAATAACGGCAAGATAACAGGATCAGGCATTCTTTCCTGACTGATCGCAAACATGTAATTAACTCTTTATTTGGACATAAATGCCTTTTCTATATCCGACTATAATACATCATAACAAACAAACAACCACAAAAGGATCAGATACTAATCTTCAACAGAAATCCAGATTCTGTATGGCAACAAGTAATATTCTGTTCAGTAGTTCGGAAGTGAACATAACTTGAAAGGTAACAAAACAGCGAACTTACGGAAAAAGAAAACGTTTTACCTCGACAACAAACTTGAAGGCACAAGCAACATTAGCATTGCTGCTAACCACAATTACAATGTAGACGTTGCTGATCCTCATATAAAAGAATGAACAACCACCGATTTGACGCACGGGGCACGTCCCAAGCTCCTTTGTTTGCATAATATGCATCCGGAACGCATCCACCATATTCCCCCTGGAAAAGAATAACCACCGTCAGCACTCGCCGGAAATCCAACAAATCCCCAATTGGAACAGAAACGAAACCATCAGAGAAGCACAGCATAGCTCAATAGAGAAATGGAGTGACATAAACCCCGCTGCTGTAATAACTAATAGCAAGCGTGAAGCTCCACTGATTCCGCGTATGGCAACAACGATTTCCCATCAACACCTAGAATTATAATAGTGCAACATGCATCTATCACAGTAGCAAGAGTGGTTCGAACTAGTTGAACACGACCTGGCTCAGGTAACGCAATTAGAACAAACACTACCAACCCATCCGCAAGTCAATTCCAAACATTTCCGAATATCTAGAGTTCAACCCACACGGCGAATCCAGTATATGACAGCCATTCGTCCAAACCCCTAAATTCCCAGTAAATTCTGAAGAAACGAGAATTCAAAGTTTTCGAACAGAACCGAGGTACTAGGTGGAAATACCCGACGTCATCGCGGTAGAGGCGATTGATGAGGACGTCGCCTCGGAGGTTCAAGAAATAGATGGCGGAAGCAGCGACCGGCATCTGTGCGATCCAGTGGGGTGGGCGGGATCGCGGGAAACCAGATTAGCGGGAACACGGGCCAAGCCTTCCTTCCCTCGGGAGATTCGACGGCGAAACGGAGGTAGTTGAACGGGGATCTGTTGATTGCGGAAGACAAACGCTGTGGAAATTGAAGATTGAATGAAGAGAGCGGGGAAGGGTGGTTGAAATGATTAAATGAATGAAAGTTGAATACGAGAGAGAGAAGAAGAAGAAGAAGAAGAAGAGAGCAGTAGTCAGTCGTCGGAGACAGTAGGGAGGCCTTTGGTTTTGGGACTTTTGGCACGCGACGGTGGCTTGGTCACGTGGGTCGATCGGTTTTAAATTTTAATGAGCTGGTTAAATTGGTTGGGTTATGACTTAATGGTACTTCTACTGTCCCATTTTTTCAAAACGGTCACTCTACTATTTTTCACGTCAAACTTACCCCTCTACCATTATATATATATAATTTTGATATTCTAACTATTAAATTTTTTCAAACTTTTCTGTCTATTATTTTTCTCGTCAAACATGATTTACTACCATCTCACATTCTCATATATGCAGTACTATTACATTCCAACACGCATGTATAATTTTGATACCCTAAATCCAAATGAATGGTAAAGATACAAAGTTAGAGCAAACCAACTTTCACCAAAACTTTATAAAACATTAACATAATTTCATTTGGAGATGTGATCGTCTCTAATCTTTGAAGGAGTGTGTGTTGTGAATAAAAGAGGGGACGAGATTTGTAAAATTAAAGTTAAGACTTTGGTCTCACTAAGGAGTGGGGAGAGTAATCGAGTGGGGCGATGAAACGGATTGAAAAATAGATTGGGTCCACGATCTGGTGTGATAAACACAGTCTAAGCTAATAATACAAACAGGCAAAACCATTCTTAGTTGTCTATGATTCGGATTAAATTGTGCAACCTGATTAGATCTACGATTTTTCTAACGGTCTGGTATGTCAACCACACAAATAACTAGAAAGCGAACATGTTTTTTGTTACCTTGCAGCTTGAATTTGTTACAATTGTTGGGCGAGGAGGAATAAAGAAGAGGTGACAGATGAGACGAGGATGAAGAGGAGCTGGGCAAATGTCGAGGATAAAAATGGCAGGGAGTGTTGAGAATGTCCGGGCGAAGACGAAAATGAATTGAGTGGCTGACGAGAGCGATCATCGGCAAATGATAAGTTGAGTCGCTGGCGAGTTGCGAACGAGGCGAGGGAGGATTCGAGGGTTTGAGGTGACAACACAACTTGGTATTGCTTGTGGAGTGGCCGAATGGAGATTGGAGGGAGAGGTTGTAGCGTCGAGATTGTGTATGAGGAGGATCTAGGAGCACGATGCAGTTGGTATGGTGGATGGACGTGGTAAAAAAATTAGAGAAAGAGCTAGGGTAGTTTTTTTGTTTTGCGATTGTGAGGCGGAGTGAATTCGTGAATTGAGTGGAAGAGAGAGTGGGGTTAATGGGTCATATGATCTGTCACAATTTATCACGAATTAGATCATGTCAGAGCACATTAGACCATATTCTAAAGGAGAGATGCCAACCACATCAAACTGTGAATTTGGTCTCATGATCTAAACCAAATCATATGTCTGATCTAATAAATCACGATTCTTTGCATGGTTTAATCTGGAACGGCCTCATGTATGTTCTCTAGTAAGATAATTTTACAATCAGGTCATTGAAGTCTCCAACATCCTCCCCCTACTCTGCCCCGAAGTTCACTCCTCCCAAATCTTCCAGCCACCTCGTGGGATCCTCCGCCAGATGCCTTTTTGAAGATCAACTTCGATGCAACTGTTTGTGCCACCGGGTGTTCGTCTGAGCTTGTTGTTTGTGGGTCCAACGAGCATGTGATGATGGCATTCGGTTGCGTCATCAAGGAGCTCCTAGCTGTTAGAGACGCTATCTCTGTCGTTGCCTCAAGTAAGGGTGTTCAAATCATTACCATGGTAATTACCAAACCAAACAAGCTAAAATTCTATTAACCGTGGAATAAAATATTCTAACCAAACCGTCCAAACTAATACAACAACCAAATTAACCAAACTAAAATTTAATCGGTTTGGTTAATTGGTTAACCAGATTAACCACTATAACATCACATCATTGTTAAGTGAGAAAATTTCGGTTAATGCATCAATTTACCATTTGTATGAATAAATAAAACATTACAATGAAAACGTAGTTATATCTAACCCTTACAGAAATACATGCAACTTATACAATTATCTTATAGTCAATAGAAGTATTCATCTAACAAAAATATATCTCAATAGTATGAAGTTAATTAATTGTTGTGATTGTGTGAATATAATTAGTCTCTTACCAATTATCATAAGTTGAAAAGAACTTTCATTTCCAGTTTTCATCTAATATCTTATTATATTGATATATTAATTATTCAGTAATGGAATAAAAATAAAAGGTCTACAAGAAATTAGTGGGCAACCTAGATACAATCTGGGCTCCCACTCCCTTAGCGACAGCAAAGCTAAGTCTAGTGAAAATGTACGCGGCCGTCCGAACCCCCGCATCTCGAGACACAGAATTTCTGGATGCGCGTAAGCAAAGCCACAACATCCGTATCCAACTCCCTCATCTAATATATTGTATAAGTTTCATCTAAATTGTGCGTTCATATATCGTGGTCTACGCTCTACAAATACAAATATACAATATAGGAACAATATTGAGTTTTATTGTTGATGAGTCTAAATGAAGGAATGTTTGGCTCTTGAGTGGTTATGCCAAGTATCAAGTATATGTATATAATATATATTAGATATATAGATAATTACTTAATTGGTTAATTTGGTTTGATTGGTTAGGACTTAGGTGTGTCTGAAACCAAACCACCTAAACCAAACAATCTAAAAAATTTAACAAAATCAAACAAATTATCCAAATTAACCAAACCAAATTAGCCAAATACTACTAGTTAAAATGGTTACTACGGTAACCACATCGTTTGAACACCCCTAGCCTTAAGGTCCTTGTCTCACGTGATAGTGGAGGGTGTCCTAGATGATTCGATTGGTGATTTCGGTACTCCGAGGGTGTCGTCGGGTAGGGGTGGGCAACGGGACGGGACGGGATACCCGTCCCGTTTGAAACGAGTACCCAGTCCCATTTGGAGACCAAAGTCCATCCCATATCCCAAACCCATATGGGAAACGGGTACCCATTACCCGTACGGGACGGATAACGGGTACCCATACTACCCATAAAATACCCAAAGTTTAAATGACATCACATTACATATCTTAACAATAACATGCTCTTGCGGGGAATAATAAGAACACGATATGATCAAAAACATAAATTCAATCTCTGTATGCACAAGCATTCATTTCAAAACATCCCAAAGGCAATTACATCCCAAAGGCAAGCCTGGCTGTTCCTGTTAGCCGCCGGGTGAGAAGAAGGAAGCCTGCTGCTGCTGCTTTGTTGCTGGTCTAAACCTCGCTGAGTGGAATGGAGGCGGCGGCTGCGCAGAGGAGAGGGACTGAGAGGGAGAGCTCAGAGGCGGCGGTGGCGGTGAATGAAGGAGGCGCCGATAGGTTTTGTCTCTTCTCTCTCGTCCCGAAGACGACTCCTCCAGGGACCAGAGAACTGAGAAGCTGCTTGTCTAGAGAAGCTGCTGCGCGTCCAGAGAAGCTGCTAGGGGTGCGTCTCACGGTCTCAGTGGGTAAGGGCCGAAAATGAGTTTTGAATTGGGCTGGGCCTGGGCGCATGGGCTGAATTAAATCTGTCTTTGTACTTTGAATGGGTACAACGGGTACCCATATTACCCAAACGGGTATTCGCGGGTAACCCGCGGGTACCCATATTAGGACTGTACAATCCCAAGTCCCATCCGTTAAAATATTACAGGTAATATGGGTACCCGTAATCCTTAAAAAACGGGACGGGTACGGGTATACCCAAATACCTGTTTCCCGTTGCCCACCCCTATCGTCAGGTGCTAGACTCTTTGTCAATTTGTATAGAGTTTATGGTGGTCCTTAAAGCCACATACTGTGCTGCCCGTAAAGTGATTTCCTGAGCTAGAGTCGTTCACGTTTTTGAGGTGGCTTCATTAGATTTTCGATTGTATGGGATACCATGTAGTTTTGTTTGTACAACTCTTCTCTTTTTTTGATATAAAAAAAAAAAAGTAAAGGAAAGAAAATATAAAAACCGTAAATTTAAGAACTCTCCAAAGCGGAAACCCAAAAGACGAGACCACAAAGCAAAGCAGTAGAAACGCCGCCCAAATCCCCATTTCTCCATCCTACTACGCCGCCGTAATCACTCTTCAGCCCTCGAATTTCGGCAGCTCAAAGTAGAGATTCCGGCTGCGAATTGCGGTTAGAAGTGGGTGGGCAAAGAATTTATTGGAGTAGCGGGGAGATGCGATGCGATTCTTCAGGAGGATAGCGGGTATACTCGGGTTCGTTAGAGACGAAGGCGGCGAACACGAAGAAGAGCAAGAAAAAGGAGACCACGAAGCGGAGCAGCAATACGTCCCTCCTCATCAATCACGAGATCATCATCGTCCTGATTACCGCGAAACTGGGATCCCCCGCAAAGGGTTCAGCGTCCCAGTTAAGGTCGCCGTTGAACGGCAGCAGCCTGGACCTATTCTCATCCCTTGCAAAGCTGGCGATGGCGGCGTCCAGGTTGGTTTCCCGGTCTCACTCCATTTGCTGTAACTTGCTGTGGGCTTGTGCTGACTTTTGATGGTTGAGAATGGATATGGAAGTATTGAATTGGGAATTCGGGTATGGTTTGTTTTCTCAGTTCGTTATGCTGCGGTATACTTCCTTTGGAGAATTCAGTTGTCTATCAACAATGCTATGACATTATGGCTTTATTTATCATCAGTTTCCGTCTAGCCTTTGTCTATGAAATTTGTATCATAACTTCGATGATGGGCTCTTGATCTTGAATCATATTCAGTTAAATGGAGATCAACTCTTCCATGGGAGTTGCTAAAAGAACGACTTTGTAAGGTGTTAAATAGATGTCAGAGAGATCAAATAGGGGAATATTGTGACGCATTTAGGGCTGAAATGGCATGAGAATTGCAGGGTGCACAACAGATTGAAGTTGAGATAACTTGCTGTAGCTTTACTTCTTTTATTGCTTGAAATGGAAGATGGCATTCCCTTTTTGGATTCAATGTGATGTCTCTCGGGATAGTTTACTTGATTTATGACTTAAAATGGAAGATTAGTATTCTCTTTCTAGATTGCCAACACCTGTCGTGAAAGAAATGGAAGTTGATATACATGATGCTCTAGTAGGAAAGCTTCTTTTGGAGGAGAATACAGTTTATTGATTCCTGATTAGGAGTCCATTTTATGGTCTGTTCATGTTCGTTTGAGAAGCGTTAGTGTGCAGAATTTCTGAACAGGAGTAAGATTGTTAACTATCTGTGAATTGTAGTCAACATAGTTGGTATTCTGTCGTCCTATTGATTTTCAAGCTGTAGGGCCTTCTACCCGAATTAAAAGGCCAGACTGAAGAGAACACAGGTATATGATTAGGACTACTGAGGCAAGTGTGAAGTCAGTTACCCCTTACCGATGTCGATCTGTTTTGAGCTCATGTATTATGTAAGATTCTGCCAAGTCCAATGGCTTGTTGAAGAAATTTGGTTGGCTGTCAAAGCGACATCATTTAAGAGTGATGCTTACCTGTGTATTTGGAGCTTACATGTCACTACTTGTGGTTACAATGCTTGCACTATTTCAATTTATCTATGTGTTGGAAAGGACTAACCAATTGTAGATGCATCCTGTGGTGTAGAGGAAGTGGTTAGTACTTCGCGCGATTTAAGAAACATAGCCATCTTCACCATGTACATCTTAATCACGCTAATAGAACATTTGCTACTTATTTTCTGTATTTTTTTGTGATTTCCTTTTCTTGTACTCTTATTGCTAGTTTTTTTTTTTTTCACTGGTTATCCTATGGAAGCGAACAGCTCAGAAACAAAACAAATTATCTAAGTTTCAGCTCTGCTCAGAATTTAATTTTGTGCTCGATTAATGTGCTGCAACAGCTTTGCTCTGAAGTTAATTTCAGAGCATTACATGCCACAATATGCCTTTTTAGCTACTTAGTCCTTGAGTACAGAAGCACATTTGTAAAAATGAACTGAATCACTTCTCTACAAGAGAAATCGTATATAGAAAACATCTTTCTATGCTCTAACTATTTGTTCCGCCTCGTAAAAGTAAGACATTTTGTCACCTTAGTCCCTCTGTGTAGGCATACTATAATGTCACCTTTTCGTTGTACCTCGAATCCCTCCAGAATATCCAATATGTTTGGAAATACCAGCAACACTTGTGAACGACCTTTTCATTTGTCCTTTCGGAATAGTGTCTAACCCCTACTTCAGGAGCCAGGACAGAAGCTGTGATTCTTTATGTACATCTGTTGTGATTCTGGACTTTGATCAACCAGACATGTAACGGCAAAGTTAGCCATCCTAATTTGTTCCTGAATGCTCTTGTGGTCCTAATTTGTTCCTGAATGCAGGCATTATTCTGCAGCATTTGGCTTTCATCCCCATTCCATTGCTTGATTACATCCTATGCGTAGTAATCTAACTGGCGCCTGCGATAGCCATCGAGATCTGACTCCTGATGGTCTGCATATTACAGGGTCTGAGGTGGTACGCAAAACGCCTCAAGATAGATGAAGACGGAGATGTCGCCGACGAATTCCTCGACGAGACCACCTCGCAGTTTCCACCCACCACCAGTTTCAGTTTCGGCAACGAACCTTCCTCATTCCCCAAGTTCGAAGCAAAATCCAATGTCCGCCATGCCAAGGTCAGGAGGCAGGTAATGTCCCCTGACGGGAAGTTCCAGCACTCCATCGAACACCAAGGCAGATTGCAACTGGTATAACCACCTCAGGAACGCGATTTTCGGATTCGGATTACGCGAACGAACACCATGGTGGTGAGAAGCACACGCAGAGTGTCGGGGTAAGTTTCAGAATAGATGTTTATATAGATCCGAGTATGGTAATGATGCCCGTCAGGAGCTTCCACCTTGATCGTTCTTACCCATAGATTGTTGCTTTGTGCTACTGTTGGTTGGTAAAAAGAGTGTATTTTGGAAACATTTGACTGCACCTGGAAAATTGTACTGAATATAACTGCACAAAACATAGGGCTCTTTTGATATCAAGCTTTACGTACTCTCTTTTGATGTAACACGTTCTTTATAGCTCACATGTTTTTTTTTTCCCACACAAAATTAGACATAGTGATGTCCAGTACCAGTCGCGTACTGTGTCGTCCCCGCAGGTACAGTACTCGGATACTGCGCCGCCATCGGGGCTCCTGCGGCCGGTCGAGCTACCGCCGGAGCTGCTGTTGCGGCCGCCGGGTCTTGATATTGATGATGACCAAACGTATCGTGCCCAGGCGGGTGGGTGGCGGCGGTCGCGGCAGCAACCGTACCATAACGGTGCTTCCTAGCGTCCAATTTCTCGGCGGCGTGCCTGGCTTTGGCCTCGTGCAGTTCCATCTTGGCTCTTGCTTCCTTGGCCTTCCGCCGCTCTTTCGCTATCTCCCTCTCCTCCGCTGTCGCGGCCGTCGCCTTCTCCGCCTGCACACCAAACGAGGTCGCATAATTGAGATCAGGAACTCGATGAAGCAAAAAGGTAAAAATTATATACGTACTTGTTCCTGAGCTTTAGCGGTGCAAATGGTGATGCGCTCCTTAGCGGCGCTGGCTATGTTGCTGATCTTCTGCTTTGCGCTCATCATCATGGTGATCTGTTTGTGACGATCTTTGAACTCGAATACTGAGCTAAATTTACTGCAGGTAATTTTCGTACGAGAAAGAAAACTAGTTTGCCTTCTGTCTAACTTCGTTTACGTACTCATATATACGCATCTCTGTGAAGCTGGGAAATGGCCACGAGGCAGCCACGTGGCTTGCATGCAGAGTGTGTCGTAGTATTGGTTTCAGCTCTCCAGCATAGACATCTGTCCGCGTCCCATTGGCTACTTAGGATGTATCAGTATCACGATCGTTGGCAACATATGAAACGTTTCATTTTACCCATGATTCAAGGCTCTTTGGTATAAAGAGAATGTAACATTACTCATAAATCCATAATTGTCGATTTCGAACTACCTTTCCTCACACCATCGCATTATCGTAAAATGGAAAAAGTGTTTGTGGAATTACAAGCTCAATATCCATACATACATTGGTTGTATAGTTGGAAGTCAAATATTCCACTGTGTCCTTGAAATGAATTCACGTGAAAAAAGAAAGAAAAAAAACAGTTAGTTGGTGATTCTATTTGCAAATTCCACAATAAATTCAAGTAATTCAAACTTATACGGATGACAGAGTCGCGGCCACGCCCTGCCAGCTGATTTCCCTTCCACCCGTTGTGTCTGCTACGGGCGGGTTGGTGCAGGTTGTCGCCTTGGCGACAACGATTGAGGCAAGTTCAGCGATTCGGCCGCCTCGTCGAGAAGGTCGACGTCGGGGACGCCTTGATCTCGGGCAAGAGGGTCATACAATGCCTTCTTCCCTTTTTGCTCACGGAGTTCGTCGACCGGTCCACAGTCGACATCGTGCCCGGGAGGTATGCAAAACCTGATGAAGTATTCCTGATCCATGCGGTACTGATGGTAAGCGTTCCAAAACATGTCCATCCGGCACAAACTGCCCATGTCCTTGATGTAGTCCCTGACGGGACAAATGAACAACATCCAAGCCGCACAACACGTCTTTCGTGGAGCGTGTTGGTCCTCTCTGTTGTGCTCTCCGCATCCTTTCCCGAACACCGTGTAGTCCATTGTGTCGAAGGATATGTTACACGCTGCACCCACCAGCCAAACAAATTAAGGCGGGAAAAGGACGAATCATACACAAAATGAAAAACAATCGAAACCTCCAAATAGATCGTTAATTCGCAATCGATTGGGAAATATTGTGTTTTTTTTTTTTTTTTTGCAAGACAAGTATGACACACAGCCAAAGTGGAAAAAAATGACTACCCACGTAAGAGGCCATCCGCGTGTGCCTTTGAATGATATGAATCTACACCTTGGAGAAGGCTGCGAGAAGCTGCTTTCCATGAGCTAGGTACAAATACTGAATCTGTAAAATTCGTGTCAGTAAAAAAACACAATTAACCACCAAAAAATGGACTAATGGAGAGCGAATTAGGGTATGGAATATTGGTTGCTTGGCTTACAAGGGATCTGGTTGCAATGAGCGAATCCAATGAACAGAAGGAAGCAAGTGAGGTAGAAACATAATGCAGCATATCGATGATTCGCCATTTTTTTTTTGCCTCTTCAATTAATTTCGACTTTTTCTCCAGTTCAATTATATAATCAATGAAAGACGCTTAGCGCCTACTTAAGCTTAATTTTGAGAAGCATCCCTTCAAACATTTTTGTCCACAAATTAAATCTCCATTTTTGGTGTATTTTTGGCTTTCTGTGTTTGGGTGTGGAAATGAAGTGGAGGATAAAAATAGGTATTGAAATTCATGGTCTAAGTGTACGACATTTGGCTTGATAATGTTAATGAGCGAAAGATGAGTATTTTAGGATATACCCAATTTGTAGGGAATTTAAATTTGTGATAGAAAATACTATACTTGAAGTTGATAGTCATGAGCATATAGATATTAGGGGTGGGCAATGGACGAGTTGGGTGGATTTTGGTCTCAAATTGACCCACTCGCTTACTAGCGGGTTGAAAAAATTATGACCCGCAATCCACCCACATACTTCTGCGGATTGGATTGGGTGGGTGGCGAATGGGTGCGGTTGGGTCGCGGGTCAACCCGCAAAAGCAATTCTCCAACTAGCCATTAAGAAAGTTGACTAACATTTATAATAAGTTCATAGTAAAATTAATAAGACTGTATCAATAATTTGTGATTTTGAAACAATTAATAATTTATAGTTTGCATCCCAATATTTAATGATTATTAACAATAATCTGCATACCAATATCCAATATCTAATGGATATTGCACATCACAATGACCTATAAAAGTAGTCAAAACTATATTTATTCTTCACCTTTTGAAGTATATGGTCAGACTGTAGTGTAGTTCGAAAATATGATGAATATTTGATACTATAAGAAACAACATTTTCATGTAAAAATAGGATGCAGGTCATATGGGTGACCCGCAATCCAGCCATCATTCACCCACATAAGTGCGGGTGGGAGATTTACCAATCCGCAATCCACCCACATCAATTACCCACTGCGTGCGGGTCGGGTTATTTGCAGGTGGATCGATATCAATCCGCGGATTAATCACCCACGTGCCCACCCCTAATAGATATATCCTTTTTATACCCAACTCTAGATATGTTAATAAAGTTTAAAGGTTGATGAACTCCAATTAAATTGATTCTATTTATTTGCTTTTTTTGTAAAAGTTTATAAAAGTTGATTGGTAACAAGTATATTATTAAGACTCATCTTAACTTATATTATGACTATTTTAAAATAACATCGTGTCACATCAGCTTTCGCTAATCCAACAACTAGGGTTGGTAAACGGTAATCCGGTAAACGGTTTATCGTTTTACCGAACCGGTAACCGTCGGTAAACGGTTTACCGTTTACCGCCGGTATCGGCAGCCGAGCGGGAAGTTGTGGGAGTCGGTTTACCGGACACGGTATCGGTAAATACCGACGGTAAATCGGTATTACCGATACCGAATCCCCCCTCCCTACTCCCTAGTGCTACGCTGCGTTTTGTTGCTTTACCCCCAAAAATATAAAATATAACATACATGAATGTAAGTATAGGCCTCAAAAATATTGTAAATAAGAGTTAATAATAAATTATTAATTACAAAAATGATGAAAAAAACTCAAAAAAATCAAAATATTACAACATCACCCCACTTCCAGAAATTCGGTTCGGTAAATATTCGGTAAACCGACCGAAAAACCGCCCGAAATCGCTTCTCACGGTATTTTGGTAATACCGGTTTGTAACCGTTTACCGGTAATTCGGTAATCGGTAAACCGGTTACAAACCGGTATCGGTAATCAGTTTGGCCAATTTCGGTATACCGAAACCGGTAAACTCGGTAAACGGTAAATTGTTTACCGACCGAATCTCACCCCTACCAACAACTTACTTGCTAATGCATCATAAAATGATGTGGTTAATCCACTTATTCCTCCATTTAATAGATTCGGCCATCTCAGGGCTTCACTTCGGTTCAGAAAAGGGTGCATAACTTTTGGTTATGCATCTTTCCATAACTAGATCTGTGCATTTAGATTTGAGTGGAGTCACAAAAGTCACAGAAAAGTTCACATCTAAGGTGCGTGAATTAATGGCTTTTCATTTTTCCTAGTTTTCATAATCATCTATTATCTTCTTCGTTCTACCTTGGATTTCAATTTTTTTTTTTTTTTGCACAGATGGAACGAGTTTGTTATGATCTAATATTTCGAGAAAGTTTTTTCGTACTACCCGTTACCACTTTGGTACCACTTTCATTTTTAACTCGATTTTTCAAATTTTTTGCACAGATGGAACGAAATCTTCGTGACCATACGATATTTATAGCTGTCCGTATGAATGATCCACTTTAATAAGCTGCTACTTGATCTATTGGATCTACAAATTTATGGAAAATACAAATACAGGGGCACCAATAATGATATGTTTTTAAGGCTTACTAGATCCCTTAGCTAACCTAGTTATAATAGTGAGTTATGTTAAAATGAGAATAATTTCAATGAAGGGCTTTCGAATAATTTCAATAAGTTTCCATGTAATTGTTCTTAGGTCTCTAGTTATTGTGTACTTGTTTTGTATGGGTTGATTATTGATTGATATTTATGTTAAATTATTTTTATGCAATGATAACAACTTAAAAAAAAACATATGTATAATGAAAAATCTACATAAATGCACATTTGAAAAAGGAGGAGGTCTTCTATGGGTTAGGTTAACAATTGGTTATTTTGGTATAACCTTGCAGAATCAATTACTTTACGATTATTTGGTTATACAGCTAAATAACCAAAAATTAGTTGTACAGTTACGGTTAACTTACTCATATAAACGATGCAGTTAACAGTAAACATAAAGTTGTTAATGGTTAATAAAAAACTGACTAAACAGTTCTGGTTATAACCGAACCAAATCGATTGTAAATACTAGTTGTGACGCTTGCTGCTTGACCATGGTCGATTGTCGGAGGAGGAAATCTTGAGCACTCGTGGTGAGATTTTGGGAGACAAAACCACAAATATGACGAGTATAACACTAGCAAAAAGAGAACGCCAAGGGTGACTGTGAAATAGTGGGAACATATTGATAATAAATGAATAAATTGGTACCCAAATTTTTTTTTTCGGTAATTATTTTTGTCATTAATCTCACTTGATCAACACGATCAAGTCGCACAAAACACAAATTTACATCTTACAGTGGAAAACTCTCAAAATCAAAAGTGTAGATTTAATCTTCCTACCACTCTACTCTGCTTAACAACATCTTTAAATCTTAAATTTCCTTGTGCTAATAACCAAATCTCCTCGTGCAATTGCAAGAAGACAATCTCCCATGGCTTGGGAATCTCTCCAAAAACACGTCTACATCTCTCCTTCCAAACCATACTGCAAACCCAGCACCACACAACACTTATCACATTACCATCTCTACTTTTTTTAGCCAAAGTACACAACTCTTGTAGCATTTGCTCCCAATCTGAACTCCAACTTCACAACAGACTGCCAAATACTGCAGCAAACATATGCCAGTATACTCACAACTACAGACCAATTGAGAGCGACTTTCTTCCTCTAAATCACATAGAGCACACACTGCCTTATTGATCTTACCCCACATCTTGAGCTTGTCACGAGTCACTATTCGATTTAAAATGACAAGCCACACAATAACTCTGTTTTTTGGAAGAGTGTACTTACTCCAAATCACCTGCCACCAGGGGACCAGAGGTCTATGCACTCGAATGGACTCCCAGACTTGCTGCACCAAAAACCTTTGCATAAGTTTGCCCTCCCAGAAAACTTGATTTTGATCATTAGCCGTCATTTTGTATTGATACCACCCACAAAGCTTAAGTAGTTGTCTCCATATTCAGGACCCAACCATGGTAGGCTTCAGCTCGACGTATATTGATTTTCAATACCCGACAAAATCTCTCATTTGGGTACATAGGGTTGCAAATGAGTCAAGTTGAGCCAAACTTTACTTTAACTTTAGCTCGGTTCGTTAATAAACGAGCTAAGCTTGAGCTTTACTCGTTTATTAAAGAGTCGGGTCGAGCTCGAGCTAGAGCTAGGCTTGTTGACTAAGTTTTTAGTTCATATTTCATACATTCATCTTGTATGTCATGTACCATACATGATACATGTGATTGATGTCATGATGAAAAATAATAACAGTCGAATGTTCAACATTAACTAATCGCATATTATACTTTGTTGGTATAATATTATTTAGTTAATAAAATTTAACTACTTCAAATCATATTTTTCATAGTATTGAATCAATTTATGGTACATAATTAAAAAATAAAAGTAAAACATATTTCTTATATGCTCGACATGTTGAATTTCATATTGGGTGAGATATATAATTTAACAATCCTTTGAATTACTCCTAACATATAGATAAATTCGCTCATAAGTCGGTGATCAAGGTGGCTCTCTAGCCACAATATTGAGACATCTCATGAGCTCTAAACGAGCCAGTTCATGAGTTGAATTCGACAAACCACAGAGTTTATCTAGCTCAAGAGCTAAACTAAACTTAGCTCAAGAGCTAAATTAGTTTAGCTCAAACTTAACTCGTTAACACACGAATCAAGTTTACAATGAATTTTCCCAAACCAAACGTCAAACACTTCTCGCTAAGGGTGTTCAAACAGTGTGGTTAACATGGTAACCATTTTAACTAGTAGTATTTGGTTAATTTGGAAAGCAGTTTGGTTTGGTTAAAATTTTTTTAGCTTATTTGGTTTAGGTGGTCTGATTTAGTTTCAGAGACTCATAACCAATCAAACCAAATTAACCAGTTAAGTAATTAATCATATCTCTCATAACTATTCTATACACATACTTAATACTTTGCATAACCACTCAAGTGTCAAACGTTCCTCCCTCTCATGCTCATAAAAAATGTTCAATATTGCACCTATAATGTATATTAGTATTTGTAGAGTGTAGAACACAATATATGAACTCCTAATTTCGATAAAACTCATACAATATGTTGGATGAAAACTTGAAAGGAATGTCTTTTTCAACTTATGATAATTACTAATAGAATAAGTCAATTTACAAAACAGAACAAATCATTAACCTCATACCATTGACATATATTTTTTACGTGAATACTTCTATTGACAGTAAGATAATTGTATTATTTACATTGATTTATGTGAAGGGTTAACTATAACTATGTATTGAGTGTTATGTTTTATTCATTATATAAATTGTGAATTGATACCCTAACCAGAGATTTTCTCACTTAATGATATTGTGATGTTATATTGGTTATTTTGGTTAACCAATTAATCAAACCGATTAAACTTTAATTTGATTATTATTGTATTAATTTAGACGGTTTGATTATAATATTGTATTAGATAATTACTGCCGTAACTATTTGAACACCCCTACTTCTCAGACTCATTTGCAGCCGTATTCATCCTCTCTCCATAAGAAAAAATTTTGTGCCAAAATTCCTCCTACACAGTTCACATCCGCATCAAAACGAGAGCGGATCCCATGACTAAGGGGGGTCCTTAGTCACTTGACTAAGCCCCTCCTAGCCATTAGATCTGGACACTTCAATCCAATGGTTAAAAAGTGGGAAGGGCTATATAATTAATGACAGGGGTAGTTTGGGTATTATGGAAAATTACGAAGTATACAAACCGGATTTACAATCAGTACAAACCATACAAACATACGAACAGTACAAACTAGAGCGACAAAACATACAAACATTACAAACGAATGAACTGTACAAACAATACAAACTAGACTGACAAACAATACAAACTATACAAAAAGAAAAAACAACCGGGTTGACTTTGGAGACTCAATCCCTATATAGAGGGGTTCCTTCCCAAAGTCAACCCGGGTGTTTTTTAGACATACAAACATGGTGGACAAAAATGACAAACTAGACCAAAAATTCATACAAACTAGAAAAACACCCGGGTTGACTTTGGAGGCTTCATCCCTATATAGAGGGCTCCGTCTCAAAGTCAACCCGGTTGTTTTTTAGACATACAAACATTACGAACATGGTGGACAAAGATGACAAACTAGACCGACAATCCATACTAACTGGAAAAAACACCCGGGTTGACTTTGGAGGCTCCATCCTACATAGAGGAGTTTCATCCAAAAGTCAACCAGGTTGTTTTTTAGATATAAAAAACATTACAAACATAGTTGACAAAAATGATAAACACGGTACACAAAAATAACAAAGTTTACAAACATTACAAAATAACAAAGCGTACAAACATTACAAAATAAATCGACAAACATTACAAAATAACAAAGCGTACAAACATTACAAAATAAATTGACAAACAGTACAAAGCATACTAACAGTACAAAATCTCTCTCTCTCTCTATTGCATGGCAAATAATCCCCCTGGTGGAAACAATCCCCATGGAAAGGGAAGCCGCCCGCCGGCTGGGAAAAATAATTCCCCTGGTGAAACCAATCCCCCTGGAAAGAGAAGCCGACCGCCACCGGGAAAATTCCCATCGGAACAATTTCCCCTGCCGGAAAGGGAAGCCGGACGTCGGCAGGCGGAGCGGAGTGACGCGCTTATCATTTTGTTTTAATTAATTCATAAATAAAAATTGTAATTACCATATTATCCTTCATTAAATTGGATAAATCTGAACCATTAGATTTTAATGAGGTGGAAGGGCTGAGATTGACTTAGTCATGTGACTAAGACCCCCCTCTTAGTCACCTTATCCTAGCCCAATCAAAACAACCAGAGAGGTTAACCAATGTAACGAAGATAAGCCCGCCAACGTTATCGCCACGCGTCACTCTCCCAATGGCTATCAGGATTTTTCCCTCGCAAATCTCCCACTTAATAAGATCGGGCCCCACCCACCTCTTTACATCCGAACCGTTCGATTCATCTGATCACAGGTTTGACCTTTTTGAACTATCTCTGACTCCTTCGCTGGCCATCCATCTTCTGGCTTCTCTGTCTCTCTCTGGTTATAAAACAATTCAAAAAGATCCCAAAAAATGGAAACCCAGCAATAATCAGAGAATCGCTATGCGTCTTCTCCCCGCCGGAGACTGATAAACAGAAAGTAAGCGCCGGATAGAGCCTAGAGGAGCTTCGGTTCATGGCGATGCCGCTTGTTCCTCGAACTCCGAGTCAATCGACTGCGGTGGGAGGGACGTCGTCGTCGTCGTCGTTCCGCGGCAGGATTGGCGCGACTGATTTTCCGCGGAGGAGGAGGAGATTGAGCTTGAGCGGGGGCGGGGAGAGGAATTGGAACTCGCGAGTTAGAATTTCTGCGGAGAGGAGCGGCGAAGCGGCGGATAGAAGCGGCGGAGTTGGTGGAGGTGGAGGAGTTGGAGCAGGCGGAGGTTTCGCGGGAGGCGCGATGGAGGTTACGACGGCATTCGACCGGAGCTACGGCGAGGCCGAGTTCCCCGTTTGGGATAAGATTGGTGCCGTGGTTCGGCTGAGTTACGGAATCGGTGAGTTTTGTTCTCATCCTGCTGTGAGTGGCGAATTTGATCTTAATCACTGTTTCACTTTTTTTTACTTGTTTCGAATTCGATTTTTTTACTCTTCGTGGAGAAGGAGAACAATTCGAAAGTTGTTTAAACGGAATGCCAAAAAAATGTTCATAGCTTATGTTGTTCCCCCCCCCCTTGTTTTTTTGGTTCTTTTTCTTTCGTTGTGGGAATTTGGGGAAGTCAGGTATATATGGCGCAATGGGTTTAGCAGGAAGGTTCATTTGCTCGTTCACTGGGATTGATAGCATGGGAGGTTTCGATCCAACGTTGGATGCTATTCTTGGAGGGCTGGGATATTCAGCTCCTCCAATTATGGCTCTCCTATTTATACTGGATGTAAGGCCTCTTTCTTCTTTGCCTTCTTGTTTTGGTGAACTTTTTCCTGAAGTGGATTGTATTTGAGGTGCTATATAAAGTAGGAGATTTGAGAAATGCTAGTTTTGGAAGGTTAGTCTTTGTCACTCTGTTTGGTCTTAGCTAAATGTGGTAGGAGCAAAATTGCTCCTATGAACTAGAGAACAGAGTCCTATTGAAACTAATCTTGGTTCTTCTTCAATTTTTTGTTTTGGAGATTAATGTTTGGTGTTGTTTGAACATAATGATAGGATGAAGTAGTGAAGGTTTCGCCTCATGCTCGGGCCATTAGGGATGTGGAGGATGAGGAGCTTAGGAACTTCTTCTATGGAATGTCACCATGGCAGGTAACCCTTTGCGCCTCTAGATTTGTAAGATGCATTGCAGAATCTTGCAGTCATTTCCATGGAATTTGATGGTTGCGTTTACTGTTTTTTCCTTGGCCTTTGCAGTTTGTCCTAATTGTTGCTGCAAGTTCGGTGGGCGAGGAGCTTTTCTACAGGGCTGCTGTGCAGGTTTGATCTCTTTTACTATCTTATTACTTTGCTTCCACTGTGTGAACTAGAACCTCAAGCTGCTGTTGGTTGAATTGAAATTTTAATGCTCCTTGATTAATTCACGATGGACTGGATTTTCATGTCATTTGAATAAAGAAACAAATATTTCAATGTGTTGAGTAATGCACACGCCAATTCGTTTTTTTACCTCTTCATCCTACGGAGTTCTGAATTGCGGGATGATCACTGATTATTTCTCTCTTATCATTCTTCATTCCCTTTCATAGGGAGCTTTAGCTGACATGTTTATAAAGAGTGCAAGTATGGCGACAAATGCTCAAGGAATGGCGTCTTTGGTAATGTGCTTTCGATGTTCCCTGCCTTTTCCTTAGACAACATATCATCGTTGTAGTAAAGCTAAGCTTTTTTGGGCTCTCTGGTGCTTATGATGTGCAGGCTGGCGTACTGCCTCCACTAGTTCCATTTGCCCAGGCCTTCGCAGCTGCAGTCACTGCTGCTCTCACCGGTGTCCTATATTTTGTAGCCTCGTCCCCTAAAGGTTCGATACAATGGACACCAAACAGGATATAGTCTCCCTCCAATACCAACTCTTAGGTCATAGAGTTAAGCGTTGCTTGTTGTTTGCCCAGATCCAACTTATGTGGTTGCTCCAGTTCTGCCATCCCGCTCGGGCCGCGAGGATCTCAAAAGACTCTTTGCAGGTTTCTGTTTCTTCCCCCTTAACCTCATTAATCTATTGGTCTCTAACAAACAGGTCACTCAAAATCCATTAAAGATTAGATAACTAAAATAATTGTCACTCCATCTATTTTCGCTCAGACTCGTGTCCAAATCATCCACATATCATCAATTCACCCTAATGTGAGTTTGGTTCGGATTTGATATGGTGTAAAATGAGTTATCCGCGTCGACTGATTTGTTTCTCGTTTTACCGCACCAGCCTGGTATGAGAGGAGGCAAATGAGGAAGATTTACTCACCCTTACTCGAAGGGCTCTTGTCTCTCTACCTCGGCTACGAGTGGATCCAGGTGATTCAACTTTCACCATTTTTCCTATAGGTTTTTACTACTTAGCACCATTGAGTTCCTATACTAACGCAGGTTTTCCATTCCCATTCAGACAAACAATATTCTTGCACCCATGATCACCCACGGGATATACTCGACGGTGGTTTTAGGGCATGGGTTGTGGAAGATACACGACCACCGTAGAAAACTACGCCATAGAATCCTGCAGCTTAAATCAGAGAGAGGGGGAATTCAATGATGGAAAAGAACTGAAAATGTATAGCATATGTTCCAGGGCATTATTAGGTATATATCCCTTTGTAAAGAAAAGTAATATGATGTGATGAAGAGTGTTCCTAGATTACAGACTTAGTTGAAATGATAGTTTCCAGCTATAGTAGGATCCATTGTATCAGAAATTACGAGCATGAATAAAGCAAATCAACCCTAACTTGGATGGTTGTTTGGTGAGGGTCTAGTCTTCCAACTGGGAGATGATGCTGGTGAAGACTTTGTAGCCTTGGGCCATATCGGATAACAGGCAGTACTCGTTCTTGGCGTGGTATGTGGCCATCAAACCTGCGTATTTTCAGAGCAGAAATGATCAGTTGACGTGGATAAAAGACGACGAGTGATTACAATGCGGTTGGACGAAAAGGGTCAAGTATGGGGGAAGCAACGAATGAATCAATGACTGAACTGGCTAGGCAGTAAAGCAGACCAATTGCTCTCCTTAAAAGCGTATGAAACCACTACGCCTGAACCTAGGTTAGTCAGAACTTAGAAATCAACCAACAACATAGGATGAACAGTTACAACGAGTGCATTCTTGCTAAATTATCTGATGAGCAGGATCATTCAAAAATCAATTAAAAGGAACAAAAGTCGTGATATGCATACTATGAATGCTCAATTTATCTTGCAGAGCCTAGCCTAACGCCAACACATCCTATCAATACGAAAATGATAAATCGTCATCATCGATTTCTAGGGAATATTAATCATAGAACGATTATTCACCAGGATGACAATAAAAAATAGAGAAAAGTAGTATGGCAAAGGTTTGTCATGCTTATTCGTACCATATCCTGCTGTCTGAACGTCGAAACCTTCCTCCTGCAACAATTCACATATACACAAGACTTGGAAAAGGCTGGAGCTCGGAAAACAAAAACTAAGAAAAGGAACAAACGTGCACATAAGCTGTTACCTGCAATTCGCGTATCAATGGTAAACTTCCAGTTATTGAGTATGGCTTTACGTAGCCAACTACCTTCTCAGTTGCTTTGCACAGCACGTGAAAGCCACGAGAATCGAGGTTGCAAGCAACACCCGACGTTGCCTCCTCAAAGGATATTGAAAGTCTGCGACATAGAATAAAGCAACATGTAAGCAGCTTTAAGTAAGACTAAAAGCACAGGATATCAATATCTAGCACTCAAAGAAAGAGAATATATATACCTCCCTCTCAAGTTTTCATCTGGAAGTACATAATGCGAGACTGGACCTCGCGTATCTAGTTTCTCTATGTTCTGATTTATGTCATCTACATACTCCTGTAGTTTCTTCATTACATCTGATACACTAGAAATATGACAAAAATAAACTAGTCATCCATACACAGATACAAGGCGAATCCAAACCACAACCACAAGGATCACTTTTCAAAAAGGTATTAAGAACCCAATAGTGAGAAAGATAGCTTACTTGTAGAAGGGAGTCAACCTGCATATAAAAGAAAATACCAGTAAGGCCCAATTTTCTACATTCTCCTAAAGCAAAATGGCAAACATGACTGTGCGAGTCATAATGGGGTCCCGATCATAACAGTATGGTCATACTGGGTAGTGGTTGGTGGTGGCAGGTTGGGCCACCCGCCACTAGGGTTGTGGGTCATAATCAAGCTCACCAAAGTTACAAAGAAACTTGTATACAAGTCAAGGTTGCGACCTGTGATAATGGTTATAGCTTGATGGGTCAGGGGCTTCCAATAGTCGGCAATGAAGCATGACGAGTTGGGTCATAAAGGGTAATGGGTTCACTCGTGTGTCAGATTCGGGTTAGGTTTGGTTGGATAAAATTCACCACCTCAAATCAAAATATATGCATGGAGTCCTACAAAGAGTTGCAAACCTGACATCCCCAGCAATTGTACACTCTCCTGGAATTTGATTGATTCCACCTCCAGGATCTGTTACAGTAACGATGTGAATTTAAGAGATCAAAGCAATTACTTCACCCAGTTAAACCCACCCGTTGAAGTAAATGGAAACTTACAACTCCACTGAGTTGGTTTCATTGTTGACGGTGTAGCAAATCCATAATCTTTCTCCTTGGGATGAGCTGGAAAATCTTTGTAAAACCGCAACTGAATCTCTTTAGTTGCTTCCATGCCTAATTCCAAAGCATTTATGGCCTGTCCGTAATCCAGACCTCTTTATGAGTCATAAATAAAGTAGCAGGTGTTTGGACATCAATCCCTAACCCTAAGCTAGGGTATGTAATTGTCCTAACCCTTCTCTTGTTATCTCTTGGAAAAAAAGACAAAAACACCCAAAGCGAGCTCAAACTACATTACGCTTAACCAAAACAAGAACTAGAAGACACAAAATACTACTGGCCACCAATGATTTCCCCCAACCACCAAAACTAATTAATGGAAGATGGAGGGAGATATAAAACTGTTAACAATGACTTATAAAGACAAGCTTGGTTCTATAATGCTGTCTAAATACCGAGAGCGACAGCCAATGCGGTTGTACATAGCTGCCTTCTATCGTTATGCGCTACGTAAAAGAGCTCCTATCTTCAAATAAAGGAAACGGCCCAGTCTTTCCATTCCTAATGGGGATGTTGTGGAATATGCAAATTTGATGACCCTAAAACTAGTCACTACCGTGGTGGCTTATCAATGTGTTTCTCTCATAGATTGTGACAGCTACATCTCATACTTGGAATGATGCACATAAAGATGGGACTGATTGATGCATACCTTGTGGGGTAAACCACTGTGAAACAGTTTCCCAGTGACATGAACTTTCCATGGTATCATGCCACCAGTACCAATACAAGGCTGTTTATCGGCTGTGTCAATCCAGAATCTGTCGACAAAAATAGCATTAACCACTATGCGCTTTTCAGAACCATCCAGAAAGATACTTCGTTATTTCACAACTTACAGAGGTCCATTCTTCAGTTTATCAAGAAGCCCATTTTTCACAAGTGCATCAACTCCAATTCCTGTTATGGAAGAGTTCTCTTCACTCGCTATGAAAACAGCAACAACAGTAGACTTCAATTTTGGCTTCGTCTCTCCCAGCTTCTTCATGAGCTGAGTCACTAGGGCCACATGTCCCAGACAATCAGTTGTCCCTCGCCCACAAAGCTTATCCCCATCGATGCTCAGTGCAAATGGATTAAACTCCTGCAGGCGTTATAAAAGAGTAGAAAACTGATGCATGTAGGCAAAGAACAATACTCAGTTTCCAAAATAAGTTTGACAGATAGCTGTGAAATGAGAATTAGTCAGCTGAACCTCAACTGGCTTCCATAATGACAAGACATCTTTTCTTAAATTAGGTTATACCAAACTCCCCTAACTATAATAATCGTACTGGAAACTAAATTCAATAGTGAGCTTCTTGCTTGCTTTAACTGCCTACTGAGTTTAGTATCTAATCCGATACATACAAGTTCAGTCACCAAATTGAAATTCAATCCAGCCTTATAGCTATCAAAACGATGACCATGCCCCTATCTAAAGTGCTAACTGGAATTCACTTCCTCAGAAGCCAGTTTCATTCAACCTGACGGAAACCAAACCAAAGCAACGACTCTGTAAAGAAAAGAAAGCGGGGAAAAGTGAGAGATGAGAACCCAGTCGGCGGGATTGGCAGTGACGACGTCCATATGCATCCCGACGAAGGACAGGATCTTGCCGGACTCCGTTCCAGGGTACTCGACGATGAGATTGCTTCTGCCGGGGGAGTAAGAAACGTGATTCACAATCAACGGACCTCCGCACTCGGTGCTGAGAGGGCGGAGGACTTCGAGGACGTGATTGGCAACCAGAAGTTCCTGCGGAATCAGCTCCGGCGGGTTGTTCTGGACGTGCTCCGACTCTCCGATGACCTTCTGGAGAAGGGAGACGAAGGCGTCGCGGTTGAGCTCCCCTAGAATATCTTCGACGCTACCCATGGCGTGTAGAGCAGAGTTGATTCGGCGCTAGAAGAATGGGTAGGAATTCAATTGAGTGGAGTGAAAGTGGGTTTTGGAAGTAGCTGATTTGCGGTTTAAATAGTAGTCGGCTTGCTTGGGCTGCTTTCGTAAGCTAATTTTTAAGTAATTATTATTTGTCCCAAATCCAAACTTTCCTTGGTGGTATATAGTAATAGTAAGTAAAAAAAATGGACATCTTGTCTTAATTAATTTTTTCAATAATAACTTTAGGAGTGCATCTATTTTGTCACTAGTGTATGGGGATTTCATTTGTCCAATTATAACTTTTTGATTTGAATATTTTAGTTATTTTGGAAAGATGCAAAATAACGAAGAACAAAAAAATGGGTATTTCAATTTCGGCTATGTTTGGTTTCTTATTATGTATTAATTGACTTACAAAAACAGAAAATAGATAAGAAGATAAGAATCGATAAGTCTGAAACAAGATTCAATTAATTATTAATTTAAATTAATTAAATAACAAATATGAAGATTTTTTATGGAACATACATACCAATATTCATTGATCATCCCTGTCCTTACACTTCCAATCCATATATTACGAGAACTAGGACTTCTACTTTCCGGGGACGATAAAAAAATCGTCGTCGTATCGTATTTGGGCATTTACAAGCATTTTCTTTTCAAGTGTAGTTCAATCCAAAACTAGATTGTAATCATCAAATTTTACATTTTTATGTGCTCATTGTCATAAAATTGAAAATTTAAATTATTTCCAGATAATTAATTAATTATGACATACATCCAAAATCAAGATTCTCAATGAACGTGCCCAAAATCTAGGTTTAGGAGGAGATAGTTTTGTTTTAACAAAGGGAATTGCTAAAAAATAAAGTTTGGTACGCCTAGATGTCCTACACGATTTGGTTAAATGAACAACACCCAATGATCTTACAGAAAAACAAATATAAATGTTTTTTTTTCTAGAATACATATGGTTATTGGTTTTACAGTGCACGCATTAGTCTGAATTGACCATGCCATTTTAACTTTTGAAAAATAGGCGTACCAAAAATTTGAACCAAGACATCTCAGTATCGAATCAACTAGAACTTTCATTATGATCTCCGTCAAAACGGTCTTCTGAGCATATTATTAATGAAAACAATTGATACTTACTTAGCGACTTGGTGAATAATGTATGGCTTTACCCATCAAATTGACTCTCAAATCTCACCTCTCCTGGTTCCTGCAACACATTCATCACTACGAGTATAACGCGGCGAAAATCGATGAGCTGGAGACAAATTATCTCGATATACAAGTCACCACAAGGAAGTACTTTCTAAACATGGATTGATCACACATCGCACTAATAACCAACTCAAACCAAACTTTCAACAAACGGACTAAAAACACAAAAAAGCAGACATAAGCATAACTCATTTCCTAATAGCCGTAAGCACTAAGAACTTTCTTCATGTTCTCTTCTTCTTCGTCTGGTTTTTGCTTGTCTGAAGTCTGAACCAAGAGGGTATGAATTTCGAGCCCTGTTTCTCCTTTGAAAACAAACCAATGCTTAGTAACCCTATTCCGACCCCAGAACTAGGGCTCAAAAATTAATACCGAAAACCAAACTAACAAAGACCCAACCGATCCAAATCACGCCTATTCTCCTAATAAGAGATGAATTCACATATGTTAATTCAGGTCCAACTCCACTTTACAAAGAAATCATTTCCAGCAAACTTACACGGACGATAGCAGAGAGCTAATTCTGACTCAAAAACTTGCAAACTCAATGAAAGTCTGAAAGGAACAAAAGAGAGCACGAATTCAAAACCTACTTAGGGGGTTCTATTTTCGTGCCGAGATTCTGGAGTACTGAAAATGATTAGGGTAAGAGAGGCAAATTAGTAAAAATATACGAGTAAGGCTGAAACTTTTCCATCTTTCTTCTATATGTGCAGAATTGACTAGCCACAAAGGGTAAAAACAGTACAAGAGGTCTCTAATGGCTGTACCCTCGGAGCAAGCGAGTTGCAAACTATTTTACCTTTGAGGATAGGGGAAAACCACGATGGACCAGTGGTAAAAACTTACTAAAGCAGATTCTTGGCCTCGGGCAAGAGAAGCTCCATTTGCTCAGTCAACTGATCCATATGTTCGGTCTTGGCATCCATTGAACTCGACTCGATATCATCAGGAACCTGGCTTTGCATGATCAAGTCATCCCAAGCCAGCAACGCATCAAGATTGTCGTCAGGATAAAGATGTATGTTACTCAGATCGAATGTCGGCATATCTCCCGATGATGGTATAAAGCAACTGTTTCCTGTATCAGGTTCCATGTAATCGTCCCCCAGAATATCACTTGTACATTGGGGAACCATTTCGGGGATTTGAGAAAGCTCCGGCATCATGGGAATAGAAGCTGCCTCTGGGAACTGAGATGCGGCAGAAGCATTTTCACAAGTCGTAATAGAAGATGATTGTATGTCAGGCACCATGGCAACTGCAGTATGCCCTGAGAGTCCGGAGGCTGGTGAAACCTCTTGGAGAGTTACACTTGATATACGGGCTGGAGAGTTTCCATTGTCCAATGCACTGAAGCAACAAAAAAAAAAAAAAGTTTGTGCTTGTAAAGCCGAAACGAACAAACTTCTTTAAACTTCGCATAACTATTCAGGAAAACCTCCACAGACTACCATAATTCAAAATCTAAGGTCACCTCATTAACTGAAGTTCACTTCGAACTTTGCCATTTTGCAATTATGACTTATTCTTAAGGTTTTAATAAAAAACCACTGATCGCTATATAATGAAACAAACTATCTAATATCTGATCAATTGCCTTTTTTTTCACTAAAACAACTCATATCCCATCAGTTGAGAAAATTCTAAACAGTTTTTACTGAGACATAAGAAACAAGCAACACTATAAAGAAAAGCTAAACACAAAGACACCCAATTGCACTATATGATACTGACCTCGAAGGCGAATCCACTTCCATGATCTGCCTGATCATAGCTTTCGCCGCCTCATTCATCAATGGCTGATACCTAACAATCTGGCCATCAGGAACAGTCGAAGGCTCATTATTCTCAGTCACCCCATCTTGCTTGAGCCTCCGTTTTTTGTTGGTCTCGGATATACGCCGATTATTCTCATTTTGCTGCTGTACGAACTGGGCCAAGAACCCAGGACTCTGCATAGCTTTTGCCAAAAACGACATCATCTGCTGTTGTCGCTGCTCCATTCCTTGAAGACGTTGCACCATCGTCTGTAACTGTCCGTCGGTAGCCTGTTGCTGCTGTCTCAACCGGACAAGTTCCTGCATAAGTACATTTTTGTCCCTTTTGAGGCGCTCAACTTCTTCCTCAAGCCCAAATTTCCCAACCTCCACACAAGCACCAACAGATGAGGTCTGGGAGTGAGACGGCTGGGGTTGTGACTGGCTGTGACCATGTGCTGGTTTCCGCCGGGTTATGGTCCTAAGGAGATGTTTTTGCCCTCTCAAGAAACCCTCGTTTGCAAATTCCCACCTATCTGGGTCTACTTTTCGAAAGCCCTGTCAATATTTAGAGACAAGAAAGTGAAAAGGTAATTTCAGGTGATACTGTGTTACTCTAAAAAAAAGTCAAGCAAATACGTGGAATTCATCTTCCCAGTGTAAGCACTGTAAAAATGATCCTTCCTTGGACTTTTTAGACATTGACTCTTCCTTGGATTTCGTGGACATAATTAAGCCTCTATTCTATCTCACACATTCATCTTCCAGTAAATAAAAGGAACCCACAAGAACAGATAACAGATACAGATGTTCTTAAGAGGAGGATTAAGATATTTCAGCTGACTGCAAAATCCCCTAACTGCTGCAGCTGACACTTTACAGTTGGTTTCGCTAACTTATTTTACAAGTTGTACTCTGATTTAGGTTGTCAAGAGGAATGTATCATAAAATGTAATCACAACAAAGGCCACAAATCTCGTTTGTTATGAATTTCCACATAAAAAGTTGAGGAAAAGTGAATAAAGAAAAAAAGAACCTTGTTACCATGGGGGAAGGAATAAAAGAACCTTAAGGTTAAGTACAAATTTGGCCAACCAAAGGCTGAACTGCCTCCCAAGAGCATACAAGTCCGAACACTAAAGTGGTACAACAAGAACATATAGTTATTTTTCCCTTCAAAATATTATCCTCATTCACAATACTATACAAGAGAACAACTAATTCACCACAAGAGCACTAACAACTTCAACAACAATCAGACATGATGAGCTAACCCAAAAAAATGATGGTATTCCAAATTATTAAACTTAACATTTCTCCCGGGTCTTTCGAATATCTTATATTTTTCAAAAAACTTATCCTCAAACAACCAAACAAGTTTTAATTATCCTATAGAAGCATCCATCCAAAACTACCATGTGGATATTCAAATCAGCTGAACAGACCATAATAAGTCAAAGAATGACAAATATTTTATATTACACTGGTATATGGCTATAATAAGATATAGCACTTGGGAAGTCAAAGAGCACAATGATTGATTGAATGGCTGATCTGTTCCATACATATAGAAAAGATCAACATAACACTGAAATATCTGAAAGTGGACAAACAACTTCTACTAGTAAGATATATCTTAAACACCAATGCAGTGAAAGTCAAAAAGAAACTATTCCAAGCATGACAGGGGAGGGGATGGATGCAAAGATTCTTTATTTAGTTAGTTTGAACTCTGTTGGTCACTCAGAAAGCTACTCAAGAGGTCATATAGATTGCCAGACAGAAGAGTTGTATGTAAGCATAGCAGTGAGATGAAATTGTTAGATAAAAAGTTGCAAAAATAAAGTAAGCTCAAAAGTCAAAAACATAAATTGGATTTTGTATAGTCTCTAGGTTCTTGATTACATTTCCCTTTACAAGACAAATGGAGAGCAGAAAACCATAGGAGACCCAAACCAAAACATTCACTAGACTAGAGAGCCACAATTGCTGCAAAAAAAG